TCTATGAGGAAATGACTCTACTTCTCTGTAGTGACCACGCAGGGGGCGACTCCTCTGCTCCCATAGACGTCTATGAGGAAATGACTCTACTTCTCTGTGGTGACCAGCAGGGGGCGACTCCTCTGCTCCCATAGACGTCTATGAGGAAATGACTCTACTTCTCTGTAGTGACCAGCAGGGGGCGACTCCTCTGCTCCCATAGACGTCTATGAGGAAATGACTCTACTTCTCTGTAGTGACCAGCAGGGGGCGACTCCTCTGCTCCCATAGACGTCTATGAGGAAATGACTCTACTTCTCTGTAGTGACCAGCAGGGGGCGACTCCTCTGCTCCCATAGACGTCTATGAGGAAATGACTCTACTTCTCTGTAGTGACCAGCAGGGGGCGACTCCTCTGCTCCCATAGACGTCTATGAGGAAATGACTCTACTTCTCTCTTGATTTGTTCCCTCAGTAAACATTGTAAACATGAGTTTATGGTCTCAGTCTCTAGTTTCAAGTCTTCTTCAACACAACATATGTTCATTTAGTAAATGATGGTCCATTCAGAGTCAGACAGACTCTTGTTTTCTTTAACTGTCCAGAAGGAACTTTGTGGTCCAACGCTGATCTCGTGTGGACGTCGGTGTGATTGCATCTCTCTGGTCTTCATCAGCCTCACAGTGTTTCTGAATAAATACTTGGTTTAATGGTGAGATTCTTGTCAAGAAAATAACGGTTTACAAATTTACAGAAACCTGAAACACAAAATGTGTGTTTTTATAAAAAAAACTGAGTTCTTGATCATGTTTTTATTCTATGCTCATTTATTTTGGAAATCGGCTAGAGATCCACCAATCGAGAGCTAGGAGATTTATCATGTAGCCTTAGCATGTAGCTTTAGCATGTAGCTGGAGAATTAATGTCTTTAATTTTATTTGATACAACTTAACAATTTATTTCACAGATTCATCAACGTATTTCCAGTGGTTGGTTATTTCTTTATTATGTACCTTGAATATGATTTTTTAATTTTCAAATGTACGTGTTTTGACAATGACAGCAACCCACTGACATACAACTGACAGTGTTTCCATGGTAACCGAGACCCCGGCTGACCAGTGTTTCCATGGTCGAGACCATTAACACAACATCAGGCATTCTGGTTGTCATTCAACAACACTGAGATTCATGCCTTCATTTAGTCATTGAGCACAGTTCAAATCAAATTCAAACATTCGTTCGACCGAGGTGCCAGATTTAATATTTCAAACACTAATTCAATGAGGAATCAACAATATGCAATATGATAAGTTAAGATATAGAGGAGTAATGCAATCCCTCTGCTCTCATCTTTAAAATAGATTTCAGTGACACAAATGAGGCGACGCTCATCGAGAAACAATCTAGAAAATGTACCATTTGATCAAAGAAGGTTTTTTAGATACATGCAGTGAGAAATATTTAAAGAAACACGTCAGTAAAGAAACATGAGCAGTTTGGAGCTGATGCATCTCCTTCCTCTTTGATATCAGTGTGACTGTAACAGCAGAAAGAAGACACACACGAGCTCTGCAGGAAATGTGTGAGACGCACCAAGAAGTCGCACAACTACACATCACACATTGTTACACTTCACACTGCACGACCTGCCGCAAAGTCACCAGAGATATGAACAATTCTTATTGCACTCGGCGCACTAATGCTCGACTTCTTCATCTTCGTGCCGCCGGGCGCCATCTTGTGTCCGGCGGGGGGGGGCCACATCGGTTCCAGCAGAACGTGAGGACGGAGCAGGGAGAGGAGGGGGCGGGGGGGGGGGGGGGAGGAATTGACAAACCTTTTTTATAAAAAACACTTTTTAAAAGCGTGCACATTAAAGACGTGAAGCGACTGTCGCAGGGATCTCTTCCACCGCGGAGCTACGCTGCAGCTGAGGGTGGAATGGGTTTCTCCACTGCTCTGCTCTGCCTCCTCCACCTGCACCAGCACCCAGTATGGAGCACTGGGCTGAACTGGGAGAGGAGGCACGGGGCTCTTTACAGGACACACGTGAAAATAACAACAAGTCTACACACAGTGCTACAGCTGCACATTAGTTTAAAAGTAAACGATGCAAACACAAAATAGAAGTAGTTTTTGAACTACGGATAATTACATGTTTGTCAATGAGTTGATTGTAATGGTCTTGAATGCTAAGCGTTATCATCACAAGGTGATTACAAATAAGTACTAATAAGGATGTGCTCTCAAAATATGAAGCAGTTGAGGATCATTTTTTTTGCAGTAAATGACGTGGACTCAAAAAGGAAAAATGTGTGTTTCTACGTAAACAAAATGTAGCAGAAATCACATTTAAATAAAACATTATTGTTAGTAGCGTAGCACAGATGACGTCATGGCTGGAGCCGAGCATTTATACCTCGTATGAGCCACCAGATGACGCCGTTACATTGGCGTTGCTCCTTCCGAATGTCGTCATTCTGCACAAACGGCCTTGATTCCGTCATTTAGGACGACGCTCCGCACAAATAACTCAAGCGTCTTCACGGATGAGGTTCATCATTTAGAAATGAGGCGAAAGTCGCCACAAATGATGACGTTTGGGGTTAAATGCGTCACTTACCGCTGCGCAGTCCGACTAGTTGTGTCGCTGCAGTCATGGAGGATGGAAAGGTCTGGAAAGAGAGAGAGAGGGAGAGAGAGAGAGAGAGAGAGAGAGAGAGAGAGAGAGAGAGAGAGAGAGAGAGAGAGAGAGAGATACAGCGAGAGAGAGAGAGAGAGAGACATACAGCGAGAGAGAGAGAGAGAGAGAGAGACATACAGCGAGAGAGAGGGAGAGAGAGAGAGAGAGAGAGAGAGAGAGAGAGACATACAGCGAGAGAGAGGGAGAGAGAGAGGGAGAGGGATAAAGACGGGATAGAAAAAGAGGGAGGAGAGTAACGGGTGGTACTGCGTAGCATCCCTCAGGGGTTGCCAGGTTTACAGTTTATCCGCCTACGGCGAGTGACGCATTTAGCACGCATGCGCAGTAGGCAAAGGGCTGATGAATCACTGTTTACGTACATAAGGTAACAGAATGGAGGAACTATTACATCGTTATGTAACTCGTTACAGGTTTAATGGCAGACAGAGCTGTTTATGACCACATCGTTTTGGTATTTTGTTCAAGTGTAAATAAGACGTATGTTTACCTTCATTTTTCATATCTTGAGTACATTTAGCTAATCCTTCCTGCTTTATTAACTCACGACCACTCGTCACGTGCATGCGGCCCCGCGCTTCCCTCTGAAAGCGCGCGTTTCTCCGTGTTTCTCACGGACCTGGCAACCTCCGCACCCGGCGTGACGACACGACGCAGACACAGGAGCGATGGCGGACGAAGTAGAGCAGGTTGGAACCGCCGCGTCAAACTGCGGTTAATTTCTCGCCCGGCGTGTGTTCAGCGACCCTGGGAGGAGGCCGGGGGGGCGTTCGACCCGTGAGCCGGTTTCCAGTGGGATCATCGTGCCCCTTTTGTTAGGTTTTACCCCGTAAACCGCGCGCCGCGGCCTGCAGGGGCTAGCTGCGTTAGCCCGGGCTAGCATCAATGCTAACCGTCAAAATGACCCAACGTGTGTTATTGGCGGCGCTGTTCAGTTAAACGTCACGTAGCACTGAGCTACTCAGCATTCATATACATGTATTGTTTAATTTGCGCGGTAACAACTGGAAAGAGTTTGACCCGTTTCAATTGTTTTAGTGAAAATATTCAAATATGACGTTAATTGTCGTTTAATGCTCACCTATGAAATGAAAATACGTCTCCACGGTTCCATCTTTTCATTCACGCTTTGACGTTAATTTGGTTCTGCTTTACTTTCTCTACATTGTGGTTTCATAGCATGTGTTGGTGATGAATATGGCACTACAGGTGTTAAATCAGTCACACATGTTTTACTTTATTAGAAGACATTTGACGGACAAACCCGAAGGTATCCGCTTTCTGTGCGCATGCGCAGACACACCTGCTATACGCGTTCTCAGATTTTTGCAGTCATTTTCTTTTGATTCCAAGAAACCGATGAACAGGACATGAATCTATAAGTCACGTGTGTCTAACTGACGTCCTCTCGCTGGCAGCAACCGACTACCAACACGGTGGAGGAGCCGCTGGATCTGATCCGACTCAGTCTGGACGAGAGGATCTACGTCAAGATGAGGAACGACCGGGAGCTCCGCGGGCGCCTGCATGTAAGACGCACACGCAGTAATTACTGTTACGGGTGAAACTGAACTTCCCAGTTGATGTCCGTGGTTTTCCCTCCACAGGCTTACGATCAGCACCTCAACATGATCCTGGGCGACGTGGAGGAGACGGTGACCACGGTGGAGATCGACGAGGAGACCTACGAGGAACTGTACAAGGTAGGACACGGGTTCCTTCGTCTCTGAGGTTCCGTTGCAGCTGCTGGGACCAAAGTCTTGATACGTTCGGTATAAACAACTATTAACCTAAATATTTGAATTGTCCCCTCTGCAGTCCACCAAGAGAAACATCCCCATGCTGTTCGTCCGGGGGGACGGCGTCGTCCTCGTAGCTCCGCCCCTCAGGGTGGGCTAATCCTCAACCACTTCCCGGTGCAAGGGGCAGCTGGGATGTTTCTACCCTTGGGGGGAGGGGAGGAGGGGGGGTACGCTCCAGCCTCCATCAGGTTCCTCCTCTGTCATCATTCACAAGGATTTCAAACATGTCTTCACTCAAAGAAAGGAAGAAACGGGCAACGAGAAGCCTTATTTCAGTTTTTATTTGGGCCCGATGTTGTCGATGGGTGATTTGCCCATCTGAGGTCCGTCTCAGTACCCTCGCTGGTTGTGCCCAGTAGAGTCCTTCATAAACCCCCCGTGATCGAGCTTTATTCTGAAGAAATCGCTCCAGATGTGTTTGTGAACTCTCTTTGGGCCCAGATGTGTCGAGTATTAAGAGCAGTTTTATTTTTAATTCTCAAGTGAAACCTTTTTTTTTTTTTTATTCGTTTGTAGATTCTCCGAACTCTCGATCTGTGAGAACTTGAGACGTTTGAGTTCCTCCGGGACGCTTTTACTTTCTTTTTATATATTATATTTTTGTAGTGTCTTGTGGGACTGGAGAGTGCGTCATGTGAACATTTTCAACATTTGGTTTTGGTAACTTGAATAAAAAAGGTTGTTTGAAAAGAAAAGTGTCTTTGAAGTGTGAGTTAGTTTTTTATCACTAATGGATGATAATTAGAGACAAATCAGAGGACGATCCTTTAAAAGCATAAATGCTGAACTGTTTTACGTTTATGGCTTTTAAATGAGCAGTTTATGGTTTTATCTCTTCTGAAGAGGACAATTCGGGCTCTGAGATTTATTTAATGTTACTCAATTTTCTCACTTTAGTGTGGACCAAATTATTTTCCAGTAAATACTTTTCTTTATAAAATAAATGGTTAAGTTTAGAATGAAGTACTTTATGATCTCAGTTTAGTTCAAAACCTGCCACGACGCCTCAAACCACAAATACACACAAGCCGTTTGTTACTTGGATGAACGTCTCTCACCACGTTGGGTCGTATTGAGAAGAGCACAAACACTTACACAATCACAAGAAGGTTATGAGCAGTTGAGACCACTTACATTTACTACAGTCTAACAAAATGCTTTTTACTTTAAAATTGTACTTGTATGCACTTTTGATCCATTAATTACTGTCATCATTTCAGCAAATGTAAAAGGAGAGTTGCAAACTAACGTAAATCCAGCAAAGAATATCACAATATGCCGAATTATGTAAACCGATCATGTGTTTTCCCTTTGGACCGTCTGCGACGCAACAAATAACTTCATCTTTAACTGATTACAGAAAAGGGGAAAGTACTTGAGTACGTGCCATGAAGTCTTGTATTGGTGCGTTCTGGCCTCTAGATGGCGCCACAGGTGCACAGTGACCTGCAGCACTTGGTGGTTTTCCTTGCTGGGACTGATGTTCCGCCTCTGAAGGGTCCTCAATCATCAAGTCATCCAAGATGGACACGTCTCCTCCTCTCCAAGAGACTTTAGTCTCTGGATGTTTGTTTTGTCATTTTCATTTCTTCAGTGGCTGCAGGGATTATTGTGCTTTATTATTCTGTTGGATGGACTTTATTTAGAGCACAATCCCCACGTTGTACGTTTGAACCTTTTTAACGGTTTATTACAGATATTTGACTGAATAAAGTGGCTTTCAAACATGAACACAAACCCACCAAAACCAGGAGCTCAGAACCGGAGCTGCAGGTGGAAAACGTTTCCCAGCAGCGTTGTTTATTTGCGTGACCTCCGACGACCTGTTGGTACAAGTGGAGTCGCAGAGAAGAAGTGGAAATATACTCATGGCGAAGCATTGTGACAGGAATAACTGCAGACGTGACACATAGCACCCCAACGCACACACACACACACACACACACACACACATTGAGACCAATGGTGTGTGTGTGTGTGTGTGAGTGTGTGTAGTGGGTAACTGGACAGGCATGTGACCCACAAAAATAATCAGATCGAAGCTCGTGGAACCTTGAAGCAGGACGTCCTTGAATTAATAGAAGTGCAGACACACACACACACACAGACACACACACATAGACACACCTCTCGTCGAGCCGTCATAAATACCAGCAGCCTCCGCTGCCCTTTCTTCCTCCCCGAGCAGCTGAAGCTCTTCAGCTTCTGCCGAGGTTCTGCACACACAGAAATCTCGCTTGGAATTCTTAAATAGTTACTTTTAATCTCATGGACGTGCAGATTGTGCGAGGCGTCCCACCGGCGTCCCCCTGGCGTCCCACCGGCGTCCCACAAGCGTCCCACTGGCGTCCTTGAGAGCAGCTGCCGGGCCGCTTTGTTCAAACGGTGGTTTGTGTCAACGATTCCAACACTTTGAATCAGCGAAAACGTCTTGATGGCGTTTTAAAATGAGCTCTTTTTGACACACACACACACACACACACACACACACACACACACACACACACACACACACACACTTGTTCTCATGAATAAATCCACCCCCCCCTGTCTGACTTCATACAACTGAACTCAAGTCTTAACACACAAATGTATTATTTAGTAGTTATTTAATTATTATTATTATTTGTCATTTTTGGCTACAATAAACATAACAAAACTATATTTGCCCCTTTTTCTTGTCTTGTTGTGTATCTATGTTTACGTTTTTGCATCTTTTAAAGTCTGTAGTTGTTTTGTGTTGCTTTGCAGTTGATTTGTGTCTCTTTGTAGTTGTTTTGTGTTGCTTTGCAGTTGATTTGTGTCTCTTTGTAGTTGTTTTGTCTCTCTGTAGTTGATTTGTGTTGTTTTGCAGTTGATTTGTGTCTCTTGGTAGTTGTTTTGTGTTGCTTTGCAGTTGATTTGTGTCTCTTTGTAGTTGTTTTGTGTTGCTTTGCAGTTGATTTGTGTCTCTTTGTAGTTGTGTTGTCTCTCTGTAGTTGTTTTGTGTTGCTTTGCAGTTGTTTTGTGTTGCTTTGCAGTTGATTTGTGTCTCTTTGTAGTTGTTTTGTGTTGCTTTGCAGTTGATTTGTGTCTCTTTGTAGTTGTTTTGTCTCTCTGTAGTTGATTTGTGTTGTTTTGCAGTTGATTTGTGTCTCTTGGTAGTTGTTTTGTGTTGCTTTGCAGTTGATTTGTGTCTCTTTGTAGTTGTTTTGTGTTGCTTTGCAGTTGATTTGTGTCTCTTTGTAGTTGTTTTGTCTCTCTGTAGTTGTTTTGTGTTGCTTTGCAGTTGATTTGTGTCTCTTTGTAGTTGTTTTGTGTTGCTTTGCAGTTGATTTGTGTCTTTGTAGTTGTTTTGTCTCTCTGTAGTTGATTTGTGTTGCTTTGCAGTTGATTTGTGTCTCTTGGCAGTTGTTGTATTCAGTTTTTAATGCTGAGCACATTTGAGTCGAGACGGAACAGATCGTTGTAACATTTGTTGATTCGTGTCACTTTGAGGTGAAACGCGATGCCGTTGTGCGCTGTAACCCTCGTGGGAGTCGCTCCATTGCGATTTCGATTCCATCCAGCTGAACCGACACATTATTTGTTTGCGATTAGCCTTTGATGCAAAGCGAAGAAATTGAAATGATGATGCAAAGTAAACGGACGCCGCGTGTCCTTTTTCCGTTCAAAGCGACGCACCGGAGGCCGCAGGGATCAGCTGCAAGAGAACAGGACAGATGGCCACAAATACCAAGATGCCAAAGCAGATCTGCTCATTGAGCTGAAGAGCACAGCTGTGTGTGTGTGTGTGTGTGTGTGTGTGTGTGTGTGTGTGTGTGTGTGTGTGTGTGTGTGTGTAATGTTTAGTAGTTCTGTCAGACGTCCTAAAGGGATGTGAGTAAGATGTTTTTCAGAAACACTCCTTTTTTTCCACTCGCGTCTCCACAAAGGAGCGCTTGGTTGTCAGCGATGAGTCTGACGACATGAAGTAACATTAGTGGTAGAAACACAAAGTCATCATCATCATCATCATCATCATCATCATCAGAAAGAGCAACATGTGACGACTGAATGAAGAAACAAGAGAAATGACCTTCTTGTCTTTTATTATTTGTTGTGTATCTAAACATTGTTTTTATCGCAAAACTTATTTTATGTTCCCTCATTACTATTTTTACTGTCATAATTTAGACTAAATGGCCATTTGCCTCTTTGAACACAACACAAATAGCTGGAGTTAATCCGCACTTCATTGGATGAAATGACATGAACGGCGTTGTTACTGAGCGGTTTTCTTGCATAAAGTATTACAGAGTCATGAGGGGAAGTCGACAACACATTCGTTCACTATTTGTTGTGCAGTTGGAAAGTCAAGAAGTAGAAAATGCTTCCACAGTATTTGGACAGAATTAAACTCCCCACATGTGTGAAGGTCGTGGGGCCTTGTTTACATCTGTGAATGAACGAAAAGCACCCAGACGACCTCGAAGGGCGGCTTGAAGGTCGCACGCTACTGTACGCGCCCGGAGGGGTGGGCTGCACGCTGCGGGTCGTCCCTCGGGACCCTTTGTCCGACTCCTGGAGGAAAACGTCCTGCGGTGATTAGCAGGGACCAGTGGACACCAGTTATTCCGCCGTGTTAAAAACGAAAAACATGTTTTTGGAGGCCGGCGGTTGGTGGTCACGGGCGCCGCCCACTTGTGGCTCGTCGTGCACGAGAGCAGCGGTTTGTTACAACATCTGCACGCCTTGTCACGTCACATCTGCTTTTCCTCGTTTCAGGGATGTTGTGGTCTTTGCTGCACGATGAAGAAGTAAAAGTGTTGATTTACACGGGAACCATTGGACATCAGGTGCAGCCTGAAGCCCCCCACCTGCCCACCTGCCCACCTGCCTCCTGTCATGTGTCTGAACCCCCCCGGGCTCACACGTCATTTCTCCAGTGGATTTGGACGATGTGCTTCCTAAATAATTAGTATCACAGCCGCCGATGCCGTCAGCTTGTCGGACCTCTGGCGGCAACGCGGACAGCAGACACCTCCACAGGTCACGGAGCGGCTGCTCCTCTCGCACGACTTTGGAGGAAACCTTTGCCAGATCGTTGCTTCATTTCCTGATCCGGATCGAGTTCACATCGCAGGACGCGTCGCATTGCTCGATGTCCTGCTGACGTACCGGCTCGTCACTGACGCGAGGCTGACACGTGAGACGTCCAACTGTAATGAGGAAACGATCCATCAAAGCTCGACTGACAGGTGAACAACAGGGTGTTGTTGGAAAACCGCGTGCTGGCGTAACAATTTGTTCTAATGCATCTTACCACATAACTGGTCACTTACCAAACTGTCGTTATGCTGTTGTGAAATCTGTGTGGAGTGAATGAGTCATACTTTTAACCCGATTGAACAAACTTCACCCGAGATCAGACACGTCGTCCTCGGCAGAACTGAAGCTCAGCAATTTGCTCTGGAAGCTGTTTTTGTAATTAAAAAGGAACAGTAGGACAAACAGAATAATGATTAAACCATGTTTAATGAGAGGCTTCCTACCTGAGGATGTTTCGCTGTGGACAAAGTGTCGAGGTCTCTAATTGGCTTCATGCACAAAAAGGGAAAAACAAACTATTTATATCCGCCCCTTGATTTGGATCCAATCCAAAATCTCTTTTTTTTCCGTAATCCTGCAGACAAACCAATCAGCAATGAACTAAAAAGAGGAATAATGTACCTCTACATTTCATTCACATGCGTTATTTCATATGACACCGACATAAAATCAAACAATAAGAAAGCATGGACATCCTTTGAGAGATAATGTGATTACAAGAACGCTCTGTTTCGACAATGCAGCCTTTCAGAAAGCACCTTACCGCCATGTTTTTCTCATCAAACCACAAAACTTTGGCTAAAACTAAAGTTTTCCGTTCACTCTGAAAGAAAATGTTGAAAGTGGCTTTAAATCAAGTGTGGACACACGCACACTAACGGCTACAATGTCTCCATTCTTCTCTTACACACACACACACACACACACACACACACACGCACACACACACACGCACACGCACACGCACACGCACACACACACACACACACGCAGTGAAACGTGATTTCCCTGCTGAGCTCTTTGGGTTCTAACCCCCCTTCATCCAAGAGATAATAGTTTAGGATGTTTTTTTACATTCCACTGGGTTTCTCATCCAGCTTCATGTTGCTTTGTGTGATTTGTTGGTGTCGACTGTCAGTTTCCTCAAAGAAAACATATTGACTTGCTGTTTTTGTTAAAAAGGCCCGAGGATCCGAGTCCACGAGCTCGTGATGCTGTTTGTTCCCCCTGAGAGACTCAGCAAAGGCTGCAGTCGGATCTGGTCTCTGGTCCCGGAGCTATTTAGCGACCTAGCTACGTGCTACGTGCTACGTGCTACCTGCTACCTGCTACGTGCTACGTGCTACGTGCTACCTGCTACCTGCTACGTGCTACCTGCTACATGCTACCTGCCATGTATACCAGAGAATACTTTGGCGCCAACTCGCCAACAAAGTAGTTTGTCGCTTTTTGTGTTTAGCTGTTTTTGTTTTTCTTGCTAAGAAAAGTACGTAACACGTCACTTTTCCTCTTGACAGTTTATTGTTTAATTTACTGGAAAAAAATCCATTTACAAAAAGTTCTACTCTAGATTGCTTTTAAGTCGATCTTTGAGACGTTTATTACATCCTTGAGTTTATTTTCAAGCTAAATGCACTTTGGTTGTTAAAATGCAATCGTAAAATATGCTGTATAATGAAAAAAAACAAACAAGCTTATTTATTTCGGATGTCAGCACATAAAACCATTTACAAGGTTGGACACAGATGTCTTATTAAACGAAATCTCCAAATGAAAGTGAATCGGATGTCTGTGAGTGCACATTGCTGGAGACCGGCGGGTTGAACTTCTCTCATTACGTATGGATCACAACTCCACGACCTCGGCTGACAACACGACGAGTTTGTACCAGCGTGACCTTCACAATGTGCGACAAACACGTCTTTGCATCTTTGGATTTACACTGAGTCATTCGTCCGAAAGGATTCGCTTCTTCCTTCAACTCTCGATTGAGGATCAAATGAGGAAGGAACCTGCTGGTGGTGGAACATCTCCATGTTCTGTTGGGTCGCGTGGCCTCCTGTGGGAGTGAAGATCACCGAGCTCTTCTGAAGCCAAATGTGGGGCCCTTTCCTGCTGCCGCTCTCTCCTCCGGCGGACAGAGGAGGCTTCGCGCCGCAAACAAACTCTCGAGGTGTTGTGGCTGCTGACGCACGAGTGCGCGCTTCATTCTCCCACCTTCGCGTCCGAGGAGTAGAGGCCCTTCAGCATTCGTCCGCGCTCTCTTTCCCGCGAGTATCAGCAGCGTTCGTTTCACTGCTTCGGGCTGCGATTCAGACGAAGCGGCTTCTTCATCGTTTACAGGGTGTGTGTTTAAGAGCTGCGTGAAACACCCGACGTCGCCCTAAATCAGTTCTGCTCCTCTGCTGCACCTCAACGTTTCATCAACGCGCCGTATTTGGACCAGCTGGTTGCACGCGTGCTGCCTTCAGGGCCTCTTTGTCTTGACTTTGTCTTCATAGATTGTGTAACTTTGAGATACGAAGGCACAATGTAACCAGCTTCAGATGGGACCTTGAAAACCCAGTGACCCACCACAGGGTTGTGTGTCTGTTTGTGTGTCTGTGCGTGTCAGAGATACGACGGCCTTGGAGGCGCACTTGGATGTTGATGCACACCACTATTTCTCTATTTCTCTTTGTGTTGATAACGCCATCCGACCCGGACTGTGTGCGCTTATGTGCGTGTGTGTGTCTGTGCGTGCGTGTGTGCGGTTTCTCTCGGTTGCGCCGCTCTGCGTGTCGAATGTAAAACGACGCCTTCGAGGTTGCGCGTGCGCTCATCGTCTCCAGTGTCTCTTAATAATGAGTTAGTTTAGCCGTCGTGTCCATACCCAGCATGCACCGGGGTCCCTACCTCTGACACGAACGCAACGCGCGTTACGTAATGTCTAATTTTAGAAGCATTTGATGTGAGAATATTCTCAGGGGCCGACGTACTTTGACAGCTGACCTTTGTATGTTTTTCATTTGTATTTCTTATTTTGTTCCGTGCTGCGTAACGTTTACCAGTTTGTTCACGTGTCAAAAATGTTTCTAACAATAATAATATTACAATATAAGATATTATAAAGAATTTCAGAATACCGGACTTACATAATTACATTTTGATGCACTTTAACTGTGACTTTAGAGCATTATAAACTACAATAATGACACTACATTATAAAATATCTGCAGTTGGAAACTACATGTAAGAATGTAAAAAATATATATTAACAGACAATGAACACAACGTGGATTTGATTATGAAACCTTACAGGAAGTAATAATCATTCCCATCTATGCTGAAATAAATGTGTTGTCCTCATCCGGAGGAAGTATCAGAAGATTGACTTAGCATGTTGCTACATGTTAGCATGAGCAGTTATAGACCCGCAGAAAGGGAGAAGAGATCCATCCGATTATCACACGGGGGTCTGATCGCTGTGTGTGTGCGTGTGTGTGTGTGTGTGTGTGTGTGTGTGTGTGTGTGTGTGTGTATCAGAGAGCAGTGGACGCAGTTCTCATTACACCTGTCCTCATTGTCCTCATTGTCCTCAGTGTCCTCAGTGTCTGAGAGGTGTGGCTGTTACTCAAAGAAGCACCCAATTCCCTTTTGAGTCATTTGAGTAGATCATTTGAGGACAAATAATAATAAAGGTAATAAAGTAGTTATGAGATGTGAGTTGACAGATACTTACAATCCCCCCAAAAGTAAAACATGGGGACTGTGTAATAACTCATGTTATTAAGTATGTGTTCCACCTTATTATTACACATTACAGCACATTTCAGTGTGTCGCTAGTTTTCATTGAAATGTTTCCGCTGGAATGAATGGAGCTCTTTGCAGGTTGGGGGGCATGAATACTCGGCCCCCCCATGGTGTCGAGGCGCCTGGCTGGGGGGTGGGGGGTGTATTTTGACAAAGAAAGTCCGAACCGAGAGCTGAGCTGTTGTTAATTCTCTGGTCTGACACCCGGTCAGCTTCTGGATCAAACGTTTCTCTGTGTTTGGCCCCCAGATTAAGATCTGGTCGCTTTCCTAGTAGTTCTCACTCAGCAGGAGACCTTCTCATTTCCTCCAGGATGTCAAGTGGAAAAATCCAGCAGACTCAGATTCCCACTAAATACAACTGTTTTTAATAGATAGGAAAAGTGGAGACATGCAGTCGCAGAATGTTAAGAGTTTAACAATGTTCAATGACTGGCTCCTCACACACACACACACACACACACACACACACACAGACACAGACACACTTGGAAACCAACAGAAATATCCAGTCTCTTGTTTCTGTAATGAAGGTCTATTGGGATTTACATTACAGACACCAGACTGAGGGAAGCTAATGTGGTGCCTGAAGCTGCATTCTCTGTACTGACCCCCAAGGGGCGACTCCTCTGCTCCCATAAACTTCTATGAGGAAATGACTCTACTTCTCTGTACTGACCACCAAGGGGCGACTCCTCTGCTCCCATAGACTTTTATGAGGAAATGACTCTACGTCTCTGTACTGACCACCAAGAGGTCACTCCTCTGCTCCCATAGACTCCTATGAGGAAATGACTCTACTTCTCTGTAGTGACCAGCAGGGGGCGACTCCTCTGCTCCCATAGACGTCTATGAGGAAATGACTCTACTTCTCTGTAGTGACCAGCAGGGGGCGACTCCTCTGCTCCCATAGACGTCTATGAGGAAATGACTCTACTTCTCTGTAGTGACCAGCAGGGGGCGACTCCTCTGCTCCCATAGACGTCTATGAGGAAATGACTCTACTTCTCTGTAGTGACCAGCAGGGGGCGACTCCTCTGCTCCCATAGACGTCTATGAGGAAATGACTCTACTTCTCTGTAGTGACCAGCAGGGGGCGACTCCTCTGCTCCCATAGACGTCTATGAGGAAATGACTCTACTTCTGTGTAGTGACCAGCAGGGGGCGACTCCTCTGCTCCCATAGACGTCTATGAGGAAATGACTCTACTTCTGTGTAGTGACCAGCAGGGGGCGACTCCTCTGCTCCCATAGACGTCTATGAGGAAATGACTCTACTTCTCTCTTGATTTATTCCCTCAGTAAACATTGTAAACATGAGTTTATGTCTCAGTCTCTAGTTTGAAATCTTCTTCAATACAACATGATGTGCATTTTTAAATGATGGTCCATTTAGGTCAAACAGACGCTTTAGGGCGGGCTACACGCTGATTGACAGATCACTAATAGACCATTAAGCAGGGGATGCTTTAGGGCGGGCGGGGCTACACAGTGATTGACAGGTTTCTACCACAGTACGCACCGTCTCTGTAACTCTTCTGCAGTCCAAATATGGTCACTTCCGTTGCCCCGGTGGCAAAAAAACAACATGGCGACGGCCAAATCAGTGAAGTAGAGGCCTCAAAACGTCCTTCCACGCGGCGGCGGGAGGCGTCACGGCGGCTGCGTCCACTTCCTCTCTTCAGCCTGTGACATCAGGATGTCCTGCGTCGCTTCTCCGCGCACATTAAAGTACACAATCCATTTCTCATGAGCTCTCCTGTGAAAAATCATCACATGAAAATGTGCGCCGCTGTCTGATCGGCTTACGTAAGCCTGAGTGCCGTAAGCCTATTTCTAAATATAGCTCCTTTACATAAAATCTATTAGCATGGAGCTAATGTGTAACATGAAGAGGACACTTAATGACCTTTGTGTTCTCGTGGCTGTGCGTTGCCGTCTGCAGTCCCGCGTTACAAAAGGAAATACATTATTGTATATGTAAACAATCAATATGTCTGTATAGTACCTCGGAACACAAACAGAGCCTTAATGACACAGCACACACACGCCGGGGTCACGTGATCAACCTTCACATTTCAAGAACACTGTGAAGCAGCCGGCAGGCTAGTTTGTTTCTTTACAATCCTCGTGCTAAGCTAAATTGGCTCCTTATTTAAGGCTCAAATATGATCCATAAATCATGGTAATAATGCTCTTGTTGTCTTTTGGACGACCACGGCACCCCGGTAATAACGCCACACCACAAGAGATTAATAAAAGGAGATGGACGTCATTGGGGAGGTCCTCCGACTCCCGCGTGGCTAATTGGCGCTGCTGCTGGACGTGGTTTCGCCCGCTGGAGGACAGTCCACGAGGACACATCATGTCCTCCAGCAGAGACCGGTCCACGAGGACACGCCAGGTCCTCCAGCAGAGACCAGTCCACGAGGACACATCATGTCCTCCAGCAGAGACCAGTCCACCGAGGACACACCAGGTCCTCCAGCAGAGACCGGTCCACGAGGACACACCAGGTCCTCCAGCAGAGACAGTCCACAAGGACACACCAGGTCCTCCAGTAAAGACCAGTCCACGAGGACACATCATGTCCTCCAGCAGAGACCAGTCCACCGAGGACACACCAGGTCCTCCAGCGGAGACACAGTCCACAAGGACACACCAGGTCCTCCAGCAGAGACCAGTCCACGAGGACACACCCGGTCCTCCAGCAAAGACCAGTCCACGAGGACACATCATGTCCTCCAGCAGAGACCAGTCCACGAGGACACACCAGGTCCTCCAGCAAAGACCAGTCCACGAGGACACGCCAGGTCCTCCAGCAGAGACCAGTCCACCGAGGACACGCCAGGTCCTCCAGCAGAGACCGGTCCACGAGGACAGACCCACATCCTTCGGACCTGCAGTCAGAACTCTAATACTTTTTTCATCGCGTGCATCTCTGGGAGCGTCGACACGTTGACGGTCACATACAGCAGTCTGACCGCCCACAACCTTCTCAGGTGTTTCTTATTCTTCATGGACTGAAGATATTAAAGATATAAAACTACGCTGTTCCAGAAAAGCAAATGTCAGAGGGAAAACCAAAATGAACATGAATGTCAGGATGGACGGCGTCTTCTTCTTTGGAAGAGGATCCAGAAAAGCTTCCTGATCACCTTTCTTCTTCTTCTTCATAGCGAGAAGGTCCCACTGGTTCCAGATGAGGAACAAAGTTCCCGTAGATCGCTGTAACCACACCCGCTGCCCGCCGGCCCTTTAAGTCGGACCAGAACACTCCAAGGAGCGACAACTGCTTTGTCTTTGAGCGCACAGCAAATATTTACAAAGTCTGTTCAACAGGACACGTGACAGTGACCTTTGACCCCCGGTGGAGTCGAGTTCCACACGAGTTTCAAACATTGATTTTGGGGAGGGCTGTTTTTCGAGCTTTGTTTACTCGGGTCCGGACTTGCCGGCGACCTTTCACCTGACTGTGATTCATTGCCCGTCCCGTGAAACCGCTCCGGAGGCCGGAAGCATGAATCACGCACGTAAACTGATGTGCTACAAAAAGAGTGCGAGCGCCGCGCACACACTTCAGCCGCGGCGTGCACGCGGTGCTCCTGGGCCAGACAAGAAGGTGGGGACGAGATATGAAGACCCAGAAGGAACCTGCTATCGAAGCGGATTCCTTCCTCTCGTCGGGCCGGAGCGGTCGATGTAATTACTCTCCGTCTCTTCAAGCGGCTTCGTGAATGAATGAACGTTTGATTGTTGATGTTCACATTTGGGCTTTTTCGCGCACACGACTTTGTGATTCAGGCCCCTGGAGTTTGTAACGGGGGCTAAAAATAGAAATTGGGTTAGGGCGCTGTCAACTAAATAGTACTAGCCCAAATCGTTTAAACCGTTTACTGGATAGGTACTGGTGTACATGTGTTAGCGTAGCGTGTACTTTTTTGTGACTGCCCACCGCGTTCTGTTCCCCGTCACCTTTTCATGCGTGAACGGCTCATACTGACACAGCCACCGGGCGAGAGCCGCTTGATAAGCTCGGCCATTATCACGCCAGGTGCAAACAGACGTGGAGGCCTTGTGTCAACACGGGCGGAGCTGGTGGGGACCCGACTCTCCTTTCTCACCGAGCGCTCTTGGTGTTGGTTCAGTCGATGTCGACGGAAAGTCACCCAGGGTCCTTCTCCCTGTGGATGGAGGAATCCACAGGAATCGGCTCCCCGCTGAATTTATCCCCTCGGGGGGGTGGGGGGGGGGGACACCGGCGCCATGAGTTCATGGTCTCACGGCGCCGACCAGGTAAACGTCAAAGTGACCTCGGAGGCCCCGTCTGACCACCGCGCGCCTCCCGCCTGTCGCCTGTCCACGCCTCCTCGGTGAGGAACGGCAAAACACACAACCAAAAAAAAGACACTCGGCGGTGCACCGTCGCGCTCAACGCGCCACGATTGTGAGTCACTTCCCGTTTGTTGTGCGCTGCGCCTCGGGTTCCTCGGACCCCCCGCTGGGCTTCCGGCCTTCCACGCGTGTAAATTCAAGCTATGATGACGCTGTTAAAACAAACGTTCTGTTTCCTTTCTGTTGCTTCTCGTTTTTTATCGCCGCCCCCTGCACGTGTTGGCCGATGCCTCCCTGTCGCCAGGGAGAAAACATGTGTTTTTATCTTACTACGTGTGGTTGTGTGTGTGTGTGTGTGTGTGTGTGTGTGTGTCTGTGGTTGTTTGTTCCACTTATGAAAGTTATTTTAGGTCAAGGTCACGTCGACTCACATTTTTCTCTTGTAGCAATTTGTTGATGGCAAAACCCACACAGCACCCACGGCGTGCTCATCGCGATGCATGCTGGGTAAAGAAACGAGAAAAACAACTTGTTTGTGGCCTGTTACATTTGTCCAGAGCTGCAGGGGAAGTAACGCAACTGGTTTTTGAGAAACCTTTGAAAGAATCGAGGCAAAGCGAGAAAGCAGCGATGAGAATCATTCACGTAACAGCGACTGAAGAGACACAATAGTCACGTTCAACAGGAGAACCGCACTAAGCTTCCTGACCACAAACGGGGAACCAGGGACGACAGGGAACACCGACTGGTCCCCAAACCCCCCCCAGCAAGGGAGACCTACGACCGGCCGGTGGGAACAACAAGATGTTCACGGCTGACGGGGGAGAAGACCTGAAGAACACGAAGTAGCTTCTAAAACATTTCTTTGAGGAACCTTCTGACAGCAGAAATCTGTCACACACATTTAGGTGTCATTCAGTTCAGGTTTATTTCATTCCGTTGCGTTTTGCCCTCTTGGGTGCAACTCAAACCTTACAGAACACGTTCTCACCGCAGTTCCCGGAATCGTCAAAAAACCAGATCCATGCTTTGTGTTCAGGGACAAGACTCGACCGGTCCTTTAAAAACACAAGTTAAGCCAAAGCCACAAAGCCGATGGTTACGGGAAAAGGCCCTCAAAAAAACAAAGCAACAGACACTCTGGTGCAGGCACCAAAGGCACCTCCATGAAACCACGTTGTGGTGTCCAACGACCGTCTTCTGGTCCAAAAGCACAGCGGCGTCAAACCGGTGCGCTGCCCGAAATAAGGCTCGCCTGCAAACGCCGTCGCCGGGTCGCTTCTAAGCAGCTGTCGTCAG